AATAGTAATTAAGTTGTTTAATAGTGAGCTCCGGTATGCGATGGCATATCCAACTGCGAGTCTAATTATTTATAGACATCGACTTCAAACTTATAGCCACTGTTAGCCAACTCTTTATCATTACTTTTAACTCCATTTACAATGAGATGAGAATTCATTAATACAATCGTAAAGAACCGGTAGTTCTCTCGCGATATAAATAATTTATTTTTGGGCCAAACATGTCTATCATTGATATACTAATTATTTTAATTATTCACTTTATCATTTATTAAATTTTATTAAATAAAATAAAATAAAATAATTCATGAAATTTCAAGTACAACATTTCAATACAAACTCACAAATGTTTGAATAAAATAAAATAAATAATATTTTTGTCTCACTTATATGTCTTGACTATTAACTATTGTAAAAGTGCTGAGTATTGTATATATGAATTCATTGTTAACTGTTTATAATTTATTTCTTGATATAACATTAATAATATTATACTAATTATTTTATAATAAAAATAACATTAGTATGTGTGATAAGTGTATAATTTGTAAAATAATCAAGTGAACAGGCATAATTATGTACAAAATATCTGTATTATTAATGAAAGTTTAAGAATCTGTAGTATTATGTGAACGCATTGTCACATATTGTGGTGAATCATAAATACTATCGGTTTGAATGACAATATCGTCATATTGTATGTTTGGCTCGTAATAGATATTCTCGGTATTTAAGTCATTGTCGTCCATATCCATAAAATCTGGTTTTCCAAAATTGACATTCAAGACATCCATTTCCTTGACTTCACTGTGTCTGTGTCTGTGAAAGTGTCCATGACATTTGATGAATACAAACACGAGTACAGTATGCAGTAATATAACGCTTGCTATGATTAGTATAAGGGATAAATAATCGGAGTCTGTTTTCTTATCATTTGATTTCAAATCATATACCCTGACGTATTCTACTTTGAATACCGGGTCGAGCCAATTTGCATCCAGATCATCGCAGAAAATGCCATCATTAAGACTACTATAGTTATAAACTTGAAGTCTAATAACTAATCTAAATTGATCATGAAGGAGTTCTTGGTTATAGTGTTTGTAATAATCGTTGAATGTTTCGGTGGGATATTCCTGGGTAATTTGACCATCAATTAGAAACTTTATACTCGATTTACTCCACTCGAGTCCATACACTTGAAATTCATTTTTCCCCAATACCTCACGTAAATTATGATGATCTTTGCCATTTATAACATAACTTACTCCATGGTATCTATAACCAGTCTGCATGTCACCCATAATATTAATAAAACCATTGTTACCCATAAGAAGTATGTGCGACATGAGTGGGCAGCCACGGGGTAATAAAGCCTTTATCTCAAACTTTCCGTATGTGAATATGTATTTAGATATGATCTGAGCGGTGGTGTAGTTCTTGGAGTACAAGTGCCGGCGGACAGCTATAAGAGACAGATTTCCATTTTTTATTTGGATGTTTTCTGAACTATTCGAGAAACAACCAAGATCATTTTCCTCTAGAATATAACATAATATATAAACTTTATTATAATGCACTTAATTTACTTTTATTTTTAATATATAATACTAACCCGTGCAACTATCTTCTCCATACTCTATAAGCCACTTATTAGTATCGAGTGA